GCCCTCCGAACCTCTGGCACCGCAGGGGCCTGGGCGCTTCCATCCCAAAGAGCAACGGGCCCCCACTCCCCACCAACGCCCCCCCCCACCCCCACGCCGCAGCACTCCCGGGCGGGGATGGAAGCTGAACAGAAAGTTCAGGGAGCCCATAGCTAAGGCCTAGGGCATCGCAGTCAGGATCTAACGGGGAGCGGTGTCCAATCGCTCGCAGGGCATCCGGATGAGAGGCGTGGCGCTCAGACAAAACCTCAGCACCGGTCAACAACTCGTTCATCGGGCTGCATGAGTGCAGGACACTCACACCAGACGTGCCCGAAATATCCGTCCTTCCATTCACAGGCAGAGTAGTGGGGGCTCATCTGTTTCTCCTAAGCAGCTGAGCGAGCAGGCGCGGGAAACCGATCGGCCCACAGCCCGCGAAGAGCGCCCATCGGCGCCGCTTTCAGATCACGAAAACCAAGTCGTAGGGCCCGCTTCCAACATCGTGGGTAGACTCATGGGCGGGCCAGTGATGCGTCAGCTCCTGCACCTGCCAGCGTTTGATCGCATCTTCCAGAAATACCTCCATACCAGCTGGTGCCACACGTAGTAAATCGCACACCTCTCCAATATCGTTGCGCTAGTGTTGCGGAGAAACAAAAGCCCGGCCAATCCTCTGTAGTGTCAGGTAGGCAGCGCCAAAGGGCCCTCGCACCCCCACCCAGGTAAGCCCCTCGTAATTGATACGGGTAACCAATGCCCCCCAGGCGCGGCGTAGCTCACCCATGCAAACGCGACCGCCCCACGCAAAACAGCGGTACCTGCGCAACAGGGAAGTCGTCGCATCGAAAACAGGATCATAACGAATCTGCCACTGACAATATAAATAAGCTGTCTCGCGCGCCCTCGGGGGGGGGGCTCCGACCACCGCCGCTGCAACAGAACGTGCCGCAGTCAAAGCACTGTCACTCATCCCAGACACCCCTGCGCCATGAGCGACGGCTGGCTGCGCACCCACCCTCCACAGCACCGAGGCCTTCCGTCCAGCAACTCTCTGAAATATCAGTAGCCGATGTCGCCGCCGTTGTAGATCCCGCAATCGAGACTTCTGGTGTAGGCGTAGGGGTCGCACGCCCGCGGTCTCGCGGCCTAGATTGCGCATCCAACCGCTCAACCGATACTTGGAGCCCGTGACAAGCCGTGTTGTACACTGGGTGGCCCCAGAATGCGTGAATCTCCCAGAAACAGCCTCGCGGCAAGCTGCAAGGCCTTCGCTCCATTAGAATCAGAACCAGCGTGCTGCACAGAAACATCATCCACAAGCGCGCGAGGTACTCGGCAACCATGGATTTCTCGCAGCCACAGTGTCGCCCGCAAGGTCAGCACATCCAGCATGCAAACAGCATGCGTACACCCTGCCAATATGCCCTGGTCGACCTGGAGCGGCTCAGAGTCGGTGCCATATCCCTTCAAGCGCCCCGGGAGGCGATGCATCCGCAGCAACATGTACATCAGCCTGGGATGGCATCCAAGTGCCATGCCTTCCCCTGAACAGCTGCGACGTCGCACCAGATCGAAAGCCTTAGTGGGGTCGAGCAGAACGGTAGCAGCAACATGACCTCTCAGCACGGGAATCTCTGACTCCAGGTGGTGCGCAAACGCGCTATCCGAGGACGTATGCCGCGACCAATTGTCCCATGCATACTCACTTCGATGATCTCGCCCCCACTGTCGGGACATGCTGCGCCGAAGCCGACCCCGTACACTCTGGGCCGCCTGGGACACCGCAATTAGCCAGTGTCCTCCATCAGCTTTCGGGGTACGGCACATCGTTGACCATGGTTTGTCCGCTCGCCAATCAAGTAGCCCCTTCACACGTCGTAAAGAACTGGATCATCATGCCCAACGTCTCGTCGGATAGATACGCGGGCATAGGGCACGCGGCCCTGTCGACGCACGCTTGGGAAAGGTAAGCAGCACCCGTCACACGGTTGGTACGTCCACCGCTGGTAGGAGCGGCCAATTCACGGCCTCCGCGGTTGGTTCCACGGGGATGCACCCATGCCGCGTCCACAGCAACTGCCAGCCCTCCATATCTCTGTTGGCCAGGACCGTCAGTTGCGTGCCTTGCGGGTCTCGCGTGAAAGGAATAACCTGGTCCAAGGGTTGGTTGAATCTTGGAGACCCGATGAGCAACTGACGCGCCATCTTGAAAGACAAGCCGCTGAAACCTCGTCCAAGCCTGGTAGGCAGCCTTCTGGCCGCTCTTGCGCATCACAGTGGCCTCGCGCCCGACATGCTCAATCAACGACTGAAGCGTAGGCGCCGCCAATGCCTCCAGTCCTGACGCAAGGAAAGACTGCAGTTGCATTGGCAGAAAGTTCAGCACTACGCGGCTACGCATGACATTAGCGAGGAACCCACTGACCCCGTGGAACGCCTGGAGAAGCACGGCGCACAGCTGCGGCCCAATCGTGCACAGCACATTGGAAGATTGCAGCCTTGAGACAAGCGTGCGGAGCCAATGGCGCTCTATTTGTAAATGCATCATCCATCGCAGCGCTGTCTTCCAAGCCATGGTATGTGGCTGCCTGTGAATGCGTCTCAGTGGAGCCTGCCACTCGCGTTGTCCCCATGTGACGCGCGGAGAGCCAGCGTGCCCAGCATGCCGAAGTGCGCTGGCCCCAACGTGATCGCACCTGTTGGTTAACTCCCGCTCAACCCCGCACATGAGGGAATCCATGCAGGCAGCGAGCCCCTGCGTGTCGGTCACATCTGCAGACGACTGAGTGCATGGGGGTACCTCGAGCACCCAGGGTGCCGCCAGGGGCAACTCCTCGAGCAAATCAGGGACCTACCTCCAGATGTGTACATCCTGCGCCATCATCCGCAGCTGAACTGGACAAGGGGGGTCAAGGTAAAGCCCTCGCCAACCTGCACACGCGAGGCAACTCTGGATGCAAGGTTCGTCGACACCACGGAATAGTCGAGAGCAGTGCCAGGCGTCGCCCGTCGACAGGTAGGAGCGTCGGGAACGAAAGGAATGGCCGAGGCAGCCGTGGCCCACTTCATGCTGAACAGGGCAGCGGGCTCGTTGCTCCAGCCGCCTCCCGCAAGCCAATCATGACCTTCACTGTTTAGCTTCGCCAATGCTTGGATCATTGCACACAAGTATGCAGCGCCGGCGGGGCCCATGCCACCCGTAGTATCCAGATAGGCACTGCCACCAGTAAAACCTCAAGGCCCCCCCCCCCAGTGAATATGGGCAAATCGCAGCCTTCCCGGGGCCGCCTCCTGCCCAGGGAAATCTGGTGCCGAAATCATGATATCAGCGCGCACCAATATATCAACACCTGCGACCGAGCCCGTTGCCGACGTCGGGCTGGGTGCAGCGCCGGCCCAAAGACCATGCCAACCAAGGTCTCGAGCCTGGGTCTGCGCCTGTGCTAGACGATCTGGTAGTGCGCGGTGCTCCACCACCAGCAACACCTTTGCCTGCTGCACTGCGCGTAGATACTCAAACAACGAACCATGCGATGTGACATTGGCCGCGATCACCTCGCCCTTGAACTTGGCATCTGTAAGCGAAAAACTTGTGCAACCTCGGATCCCGCCCGCGCTGCGCGAGGCAGCGGCACGCTTCCCGCTCCTCGCGCCGACGGCGACCCCCAAACTATGGCCCGCAGCGCCGCCGACGGCAGCGCCGACAACGGTCTTCGCAAAAGGGGCCCGTGGCGCCCGGAGGGCCCACGGGCCTCGCGAGCGCCGCGTCCTCCACAGCCACGCCAGACGCCAGGGCAACCGCTGGGCACCCTGATTCACGTGGCGACATTGTGCCTCGTAGCCCCGATGGCACACTAGGTCTTTGCTCTCTGACGTCTTCCAGCGTACGCGGCAACATTGAGCCTAATAGCCCTGGTGGCGCACTAGGCCTTTGCATTCTAACACCAGATTTCAGCATGCGACATTGAGCTCCAGCTGGGAACTGATCAACGCGTGGCGACCTCTGCGACTCCACGGGGGCCGCGAGTGCACCGCTCAACGCCGATGTCCCAGCCAAGGCCTTCCTCTGTCTCGCCATTGCCCCCAGCCCAGGGGAGGAACACCCCTGGCCATCTGGGTGGATATTCGTGGGCCACCTCGAAGTAGTAGTCAACCCCGACGCCGAAGGACACGCGGGCAGAGGGGGCGTGACTTCCAGGGGCTGAACCCCTGCCCCCTCTGCCAAATATATCTTCATCATCTCCAAGACCACGTGATGTCGTGGTCGAAGCGTAGGAAATCATGACCCTGTGCGCAGCGACCGCAGTGGGCACCTGCCCCAACTGCGGACCATCATCAAGCAACGATGGCCCAACGTCGCTGGCCTCAGCACGATCGCCACGCAGCCCGAAGAAATCATCCAGGTCAAACCCGAGGTCGGCACACAACTGCTCAACGTCGTCGCCAACCTCAGATGATACGTGGTAGCAAGATCCTGCCATGCATTGTTCAACTGCTTCAAAGACCATCCTTAGAACCAGCACTAGAACCAGCGCTAGAGCCCGCGTGCATCTTCTTCGTGATGAACAGCTTGAAAGACTCGAGCTGGCGCTTGGCACGCGCCCTGTCCTCGGCCTCGTCCTCGGAGACCTTGCCCCCGTTGCTGGCAATAAATGCCTTAGGCCCTCAAGATCCATATCCTTGGGCACATGAGTATCAAAGGCAGTCTGAGCAGCAGGTGCATCCACGCCAGAAGGAGGCTGCTGAGCCTGCTGCTGCTGCTGCTGCATAGCCCGCTGCACCTCATATTGGTCGTCTCTCGCCTTCTTGACTGCTTCAATCCATGGCTGAACAGACTGCGCACAACTAGCAGCCAACTGTTCACCACCACCCAACTGTTGTACAATGGCCTGTAGCTGCTCCATCCACAGAAAGCCTCAAACACAGCTGAATCGCCAGCAGAAGAAGCACCAAAAATGCTGCTCAGGTGTTCTTTGGCGTAGCAGTTCCATCTGCTCAAGCTGCAGCTGCACCCGGGCCTTTTCTTTGTCGTCCACCTGCTGCCGAAGTTCTTGGACCAACTTCTGCTTCTCAACCCGACGCTTTTCCTCGGTGTCAATCGACAGCTTGCGTTTGGCAATCTGCTGGTTGTTACCAATGCCATGCACCTGCGTGCCCAGGGGCTTCGACGCAGTGATCTCCTGACGCAGCTGCCGAACCAAAGTCTCAGCGTCCGCGTAGCCAGAAACAGTACTGAGCTCGACCCCATTTGACATCGGCAGCCATCTCCAGCGCCGCCAACACTGTTTCGCAAGTATCCAACTCCTTCTGCTTCTTCTGCAGCTCAGGGCCACTTGCCGAATCAGTCTGGGGCTGCAGCTCAGGAGCATCAGCCTCAGGAGACATGGACCGAGATAGCTGCTGAACCTGCTTGCGGAGGACAGCTAGCTGTTTCTGCTTTGCTTCCAGAACTAGCGCGCTGGCTGGGCACAGGAGGATCCCGATCACACTTGTAGACACGACCTTTAGCACCTCCACAGAGAAAGCAAGAATTCGCATCTGCATGGTTATGCCAAGGTTCACCCGTTCTCTGATGCATGCAGAACCTGCAAACCCAACGCTTCGCCTTGGCCGCCCTTTCCCTGGCCGCGCGGCCAACAGGCGGTGCCATGGCGGCCGCAACCAGGTGGTGAGAGCCGCAATGATCAGAGACTTGCACGGATGGCGACCTGGGGCGGACCAGGCGCCGGGGGAAGGACTGTCGGGCGCAGGGCCCTGGCACTGCCGCGGACTAGCGGTATCCACTCGGTTCCCTGTGAACCTCATAGTCTTGAGCCAAAATGGCTACGGAAGGATGATGGAGGAGGAGGAGGAAGAGGAGGAGGAGGACAACGGAAGAGCAACCCCTCCTCCCCTACTCCGGGAGGCCCGCACTGCCACCCGCTCCCGCTGGGAGAGAGGGGGGGGCGACGGGCTTTGCCGGCAGCCCGTGGCAGCCGACGGCGCTGCGCGTCCCCCTCCACGCCCTGAGGGGGGAGGGGGGGGCGGGAGGCAGGAGGGGAGGAACAAAACGGAGACTGGAGGAGGGCGGGGGAGGGAGGCAGGGAAGAAAGAAGGGAGGGAGGGAGGGCACCACCAGCATCAGTGCGACCAGCAGCACCACTCTGACCACCGCGTCGGAGATCAGCACGAGCTGGGGCGGCACTACAGGCGGTACAAACACGACCGAGACCAGTAGTGATGAGAGCAGCACCACGAGTGTTCAGAGTACGACCGATACCGGCAGCACCACGCGCAGCGGCACAAGCGCAACTGGCAGCACCACACTGACCCGCACGTCGGACACCAGCAGTACCACGTTCAGCAGCCCAAGCCCCAGTGGTTCCAGTAGCATCACTCTGACCGCCAAGTTGGTGGGCAGCATGACTAGGAGCAGCACCACGAGTGCTACGAGCACGAGTTGGACCAGTAGCACCACCTTGACTGGCCTGGCGGTGAGCAGTACGAGTGTGAGCGGCTCCACGAGTCTCATGAGCACGAGTCTTGGCAACGATACCGCGTTCAGGAACACAAGCGCAACCCGCAACACCACAGTGACCAGCGCGACGGACACCAGCAGTACCACGCCCAGCAGCACCAACACCAGTTGGACCACCAACGCCACTCTACCATCACGGTGGTGAGCTGTGCGAGTTGGAGCAGCAGAAGAAGAGAAAAAGGGAGACGTGGAGGAGGAGGAGGAGGAGGAGGAGGAGGAGGAGGAGGGGGAGGACGAGGAGGAAGAAGAGGAACATGATGATGAGGAAGCAGGAGGGAGAAAAAGAAAAAGAGGGATACGATCAAGAGAAAGAGGGAGGAATATGAGTAGGAGGAAGGAGAAGAGCGGGGACCAACAGGAGGCGGAAGAGGGGAAGAGGGAGGAGAGGATCATGCGAAAATGATCATGCGGATAGGAAGACTAGGAAGAGGAATGCTTAGGTGCTGGCGGATACTAAGAATGATAACAGCATTGTGCTAACTAGCGTGGGCCCAAAACAATTAATTATTGCACTGTGGATGTGCAAGCTATGCTGTGCAAGCTATGCGGTTTACGCAAGCTATGTGTCGACAACAAAGCGGCAATGGGCAGCAATGTGGCAACCAAAATCGCCAGACCCTCCCAACGCACGAGGCGGCAACGGGAGGCAACGGGGCGGCAACGGGCGGCACCGTGGCGAAATCTCGCCAACACGCCCACAGCACGAGGCGGCAACGAGGCGGCAACGGGCGGCAACGTGGCGAACCCTCGCCGGACCCACTGAGGGCACGCGGTGGTAACTAGGCGGCAGCGGGCGGCGACGTGGCCGAACCTCGCCACTCATTTAATGCACAAGGCGGCAACGAGGCAGCAACGGGATGGCAACGGGCGGCGACGAGGCGGTTACGGGCGGCAGCGTGGCGAAACCCCGCCAAACCCACCCAACGCACGAGGTGGCAACGAGGCGTCAACGGGCGGCAACGTGGCGAAACCTCAGCGGACCCACCCAACGCACGAGGCGGCCACGAGGCCGCACGAAGCAACGAGCGGCAACGTGGGAAATCCCCGCCGGACCCAACCAATTCGTTTGGGACGCAAGTAAGAACCTCAAGGCCCTAAGGGCAAGTGCTGCACTGACTGGGGAAATAATCGGAACTTCGGAACATAATCAAAAAACATAGGAAGAAAATGAGGAGAAAGCGGAAGCGGAACCGGAAGCGGTGGAGCAAGAGAAATCGGAGGAGGAGGAGGAGGAGGAACAGGAGGAGGACAATGAGGAAGAGGAGGAGGAGGAGGAGGAGGACAATGAGGAAGGGGAGGAGGAGGAGGAGGAGGAGGAGGAGGAGGAGAGGAGGAGGAGGAGGAGGAGGAGGAGGAGGAGGAGGGGCACCAAGGACGACGAGGAGGAGGAGGACAATGAGGAGGAGGAGGAAGAGGAGGAAGAGGACAGATGAGGACAGCGAGGAGGAGGACGAGGAGGAGGAGGAGGAGGAGGAGGAGGAGGAGTTCGGGTATCCAGGGGGACGCGACTCTTCAATAGCGCCAAACAAGGGCGCGGGCGGCTGCACTCGCCGAGACTAGGCTCTCGCGCGTCGGCGCCACATGTAGCTTCGTTTTGTTTAACGTGTGGATGCCAACGCAATGTGCGATGCAGCGACGTAGCGCTGTCGCGGTCAGCCGCGCAGGTTGCCTCGGGGCCCAGGCACTGGGCCGTCATTGTCGAGCGGAGGGACCAAGGGAGGCCCAAGAGGCGAGGACAGGAAAGGCAATGGGGAAACGTGTCCGCGTCCTTGGGGCAGCCGAAGACGGGCGTCCTCGGCGCCAGCACGTGCATTCTGGCGGTAGTGGCCCGCCCGCCACTGAAGGTCTTGAAGACGGCCCAGCGCCAGCCCGGGGGTCAGTCCCTGGATAATCCTGGACAACGATACCCACCGTGCGGAAAGCTCCTCGGGAGGCAACAGCTGCAGGCCCCAGGACGCAAGGCGCCTAGCGAGCGTAGCGCGAATTGCGATGAAAAGCATTCTTTACCAAGCGAGCTGGCGCTCGCTCGCTGGACGCGGGCCCAGCGCTGCGGGACAGCGGCTGCTGCTGCCGTGAAATCGGCGCGGCCCGCGTCGCGGGCGTCGCGGATCGCATGGGCCAGGGAGATGCTGCGGCGCTGGCCAGAGCAGAGGCAGGAATAGTACTGCACAGTCGAGATGAACTGAACCCAGAACGGCGGCGACCAGCGTCCGCTGTTCCAGCGATGGAAGTGGTGGGCAATGCTTTCATCCCAAGCAGTGCCGCGCAGGCGGGCAAGGGCATCCTCCCAGTCGCCGCGTATGTGTTACAGAAGCGGAGCGCATGGCGGCGGCGACTGTGACGACCTGCATCGCGGCTGGGATACTGGCTGGAGCCCCAGTCGGCCATCGCGATCAGATCGACCTTTTCGAAATACGAGTTGGGAGGCATGTGTAGCATGTTGTAGGACATGTAGAGCTCGCGGCGAACTATGGACTGCCCATTCGGAAAGAACTGCGCAACGTAGCCAGGCGTAGAAAGGGCCGATGCGTTGTATAAGCGAACGGTGGCACCGCTGCCAGACTGGACGAGCTGCAGAAGACTACCACGATGCCACCATTTTTGCCCCGGGGCGTGATTTCGCCCGACAGAGACTCTGAGGGCCCAGGAAGGCCCCCAGGTACTCGGCACGCCACGCGATCGAAAACTCGCTCCAGGGAGGGGCAAGCTCGGACAGCAGGGAACGGGTCTGGACAATGGTGGCACGGTTGGCGGCATCCCAGGGCGGGGCGACCACCCGCTCGCAGGGTGAGCAAGGCGAGCTCCTCTGCGGCGAAAGGCTCAGCAACGCGACCCACCAGCTCGAACTTGCTGCGCAAGAGCCCCAACTCGTCAGCGCGCGCAAGCGCCCGCATGGCCGAAGGACGGGTCGGGCGCGCCGTCGGCGTTCTCGACGAAGGAGGCGACGTGGCGCACCGTAGGGCCCATATCGCCCGAGCTGATCCACTGGCGGGGCAGCCCCGGGCAACGCCCGACTCGATGGCGAACGCGACGTAGCGGGCGCCGTCGGCCTCGACGAACGAGGACGGGGCGAAGTACGCGGCGCCGAAGAGGTTGAGCAGGCCATCAGGAAGGCCGAAGTACACGAGCGACACGGACAGCCAGGCCCTGCCCGGCGACGCGAACGCGGCAGCGAAGTCGAAGCCGACGAAGATCGCGAAGTGGCCGGCGCGGTCGACCAGGGGGCCAGCGTGGCGAGTCTCAGCATGGAGGCGAACGATGTGCTAGGTGAGGTTGCGGCCCACGATGAAGCCCTGCTGCACTTCGCGAGTCCGCTGCGCGACGTATTTTTTAGGGTGCGCTTGGAGGCGCCAGCGATGGTTTTGATGTCCGTGTTCTTCAAAGAGGGAAGGCGCGTCCTCGGGGGCCCTGTCCGCGGTGAGCCCCCCCACCAGGTTGTCGCCTTTCGGCGGACAGCGAAGTCGGACTCGCTCGGGCCCCGCGGGATCGACTGGCCCGAGCAGAGGAAGAAGGATATATTCACCAGGATGTCGAGGGAGTGGTCGCGGGCGAGCCACGCGTCGCACGGCTGGCGGTCGGGGCCAGACGCCGACGGAGAGGCGCGCGGGAGGAAAGCTGCGATCTGGCGCCTGCACGGTGCACCGGCGCCAATCGAGTCGCCGCGAGGCATGCGCTGACCGACGCACTGCTGCACCTCGGAAATGTCGACCACCTTCGCGGCGATGACGGGTTCCCAGCGCGCGCGCGCGGCGTCGGCCGCGGCGCAGCTCTCTCCAGCTATCCCTGCGGGGCGGCCCTGGGGGCCCTGGGCCTTCGTTCCATGGAGGACAAAACGGCGCTTCCAGGGGGGCAATGAGGAGCGAGCTCCTGGGAAGCTCGAATGAGCCCGAGGAGGCGCCCGAGGGAAATGACCTCGTCTTGCCCCCGTGGCTGCGCGAGGCGCACTGAGCCAGAGAGCGCCTGCGAGCCTCGAAGTCGCGGCGCAGGGAGGCCGACGGGCCGGCAAACGGAGCAGGGCTCTCGATGGCGATGACGCCGTCGGCGATGATCACGAACTGCTCGCCGAGGTCAGCGGCGCATTGGGGGCGCCCGGCGAGGGCGGTGTCCGGGCGCCAGCCCTTGATATTGAGCGCTCGGTGAAGACGCGGCCGTCGAGGTAGCCGGGGCGGGCGGCGTCGCCGACTCAGTCATCGCGGGCCCGCCGGCGGTTCTCGATGGGGACGCGGACGGCGTTCGCGGCGTCAATGAGCTGCCGCGCGTGGCTGACGCGGCGCGGGTCGCGGAAGATCGCGGGCGGAATGGCCTGCTCGGCGGGCGGCGCGCGCGGCTTGATGCCAGCGGTGAGAGGCGCTCGTCCGACAAGGTGGCGGCGTCGCGGGCGACGTCGACCCGTGGGGTGAGCCCCTGCGCGCTGTGGGATGGGAGGCTGATGCAGACACGGTCGATCGCGAAGGCCGCGTAGTCGGACTTGTTGAGCCCGGTCGAAGGTCCGACTCGATCTCGAGCATGGAGTCGAAGAGCGCCTTCCAGAAGGGCTGCTGCTGGCGGTTGATATTGTCGAGCGAGGGGCGGGCGCGCTGGGCCTGCGGCTGGAAGGGGCTGTTGGGGGGGCGGCTGGCCGCGTTGACGTCGCCCATGGCCAAGAAGGCGCGGCGCTGGCACTCTGGCCCCGCCGATCCGTGATGCGTCTGCCACGCGGCGCGGGCCCCGCCGCGATCTCGCGCAGACTGTTCATGGCTGCGGACATTCATCAGGGCCGCGGCGCCGCGGGCGGCGGGGTCGGCGACGAAGAGCTTGCGCGGGCACGGCCGCGCGCCCACCCGCGCGGATCAGCGCTTCGGGGCCAGGGACCTCCGGGGGGAGGGCGGCGCGCGAACGGACTTCGCGAGAGAGGCCTGCTTGCGTCGGCGACGGGAGCGCTTGTGGCGCATCTGCGCTCGGGCGCCCCAACTGACGAAGGCGGCGAGCGACGAGCCTTCGGGCGCCGGCCATGGCGCCCGCGGGCGGTTGGGAATGCCGCGCGGCGGACTCGGTGACCGAGAGGAGGGCCTGGAAAGAGGAGAGGACGGCTGCGCGGTCGATGCCGTAGAACTGCTGGAGCTCGAGGACCTTCTCGTTCCACTCGAAGACGGCGGGGTCAGCCTGGCCGCGGACGCCGAGGCGGGCGACGGGCTCGGCGTTGCTATGGATCTCGCCCTTGCCGCGGATGGCTCGCCATTGCAAGTTGGGGCGTCGGTGTTGGAGCGGCGCCCAGAGCTTCTTGCATTGGATATCAATGCGGACGTTCTTCGGACTTGTCGCCATTAAAGTAGACATCCACGCGCTGCCCGGCGGCGCCGGCAGAGACGAAGCGCCCCCATTCCCCTGCGGCGTCGCGTGGGGAGCGCTGCTGAGCGAGGGCGCGAGGAATAGCCACATCCCTCGCGGGCGCCTTTGGCTCGAAGAACGAAGCGGCGGGCAGGCTCGCGGCCGCGAAGTTCAACGCGGTTGGGCTGAAGGCCATCGCCTCCGATCCACTCCGCCGGGCCACGGGGGGGATGTCGGGCGGGGCGAGGCGCTGGTAGCCAACGGAAAAGATCGCCGGGTCTGGAACGCGGCCCCAGTCGGCGAGACGCGCGAGGTCCGCGATCGGGATCCGGGCTTCAGTCAAGGCGAGGGTGTCGCGCATACTGCCGATATGGTGCCACATGCGCCGCTTCTGCTCGGCGGCTCGTCGGCCCCGCTGGCGGCGGGCTCAGGCGACGGCGTCGCGAAGGATGTCCGGGCGGCGTTCGGTCTGGGAGACTTGCTGCTGGAGGAGGGGGCAGAAGTTCTCGCGAGACTGCTCGAGGGGGCGGTCGGCCTGGGCGCGGAAGGCGTCGGCGACGATGGTGATCTGCTCCTGCGCGAGGCTCTGCGGGGCGGCGTCCAAATTCTGCGGAGAGGCCAGAGGGGCGCGCTGCTGGAACGGAGCGCGGTGTAGGATGTACTTCGCCAGGGAGAGCATGCGCGGCAGGATGAGCGGTTCCCTGTGGGTGCTCTTGCGATGGGAAGGTGGAGAAGTTGCCCAGGTCGGCCGCCAATTTCTATAGATCGTGTCCGTGGACAGCGTCGCGGCGGGGACCGTCGCCCGACGGGCCAGCGGAAGCGGGGCGAGCGGCGGAGCGTGCCGTGCGGGGGGATGGTGGTGCAGCGCGGCCAGATGAACGGCCTGCAGGGACGGAGTCGTCTCGTTGTTGAACGGCGAGAGGTCCACGGGCAGCTTCGACACGGGGGGCGGTCTTCTTGGCGATGGGCACGATCGCGATGTCAGGCATGACCACGATGTCCAGCTTCCTGTCGGCGGCGGCGTGAGGCTTGCGATGAAGAGAGGCTGCGTGATGCGGAGCGCTCGTTGCCGCTGGGGTTGTTGCTGCTGGCCATGTTTCCGAACCGGTCTCGACGGGCGAGCTGTGGTTGATGTCCGCGATGAGCAGCTGACTGCCGGCGGCCAGGGGCGATGTGCAGCCAGAACGTGACGGCGGTGACGTCGATGAGGAAACCAGCAGCGACACAAGCGAAATGAAGGGCTCGGAACGGGGCTCGACGAACGATATGGAATGCTCGGAGCGGGGCTCGACGAGCGGATATGGAAGGCTCGGAGCAGAGCTCGACGATCGGATATGGACGGCCTGCTGGGATGGGCGGCCGCAAGCCCCTGGTTGTGGCGGCAAGTCTGCGCGGACCGGTGGGAGCCTACCCCGTGGAGGCAATGAAAGGGACACCAGCTTGGCCTTGAGCCAAAATCTTTGCGGGAGGAGGAGGAGGAGACGGAGGAGGAAAAGGAGGAGGATGAGGAGGAGGAAGAAGACGAGGCGGGAGGGAGGAGAGGGAGGAACAACAGCAGGAGAAGGAGGGAGCAGCAGCAGCAGCAGCAGCAGCAGCAGCAGCAGCAGCAGCAGCAGCAGCAGCAGCAGCAGCAGGAGGGCCTCGCCCACCCATGGGCAGACGTTCAGCCGCTTCCGCCGCTGGCGCGTGCTGCAGCCTGCGGGTCCCGAGGGGGAAGCCGCCCGCGGCACGGCGGCTGGCGACAGGGGGGGATCGGAAGATGTCAGGGAGCGCCCTGGAGCAAGCAAGACGGTCTCGTTCCGTCACTCTCGGCGTGTCCGGGGGCCGCTCCTCGCCCTCTGGACGTCCAGGGACAACACTGGGAGGGAAGGGCGGCTCGGAGGGGCCTCTGGGGGTCCACGTTGGGAAAACGAAATCGCGGCGTCGGGGCTCTAGGGACGGAGACGGGAGATGGGTTATCGGGGAGGGGGGGGGCGGGGAAGGGGGAAGGATGGATGCATTGGGACAGCGGGAGGAGAGGCAGGGGGGGAAGGAACAGGGGGAGAAAGGGGGAGGAAGGGGACCGCGAATCTCGCAGCAGAAAGTCCGAGGCAGGATGAACGTGGCCGCCGCGCCACGAACCGAGCCCAGCGTGGGATCGACGAGGCCGGGCGAACACGAGGGGCTCAGGAGCAGAAGCGGGCGCGGAGATGCCCAGCCTTTGGCGCACGAGCCCTTCCGCCAAGGCGCAAATGTCGCCACTCGGCTTTGGACGAGGGAAGGGGGTAGGTCGTAAAGAGTAAAAGAGCCCAGGGAGGCACACGTAAATATACCCAATTTCTACGATTTAAATTTCCATATTTTCTGGATTTTACGCTTCCCCTCCATTTCCAATGTTTTACCACGGTTTCATGGGAAATCGGTGTGTCTTTGTGTCTGTGTCGATTTGTCCCTCCTGCGGTAGGTAATAAAGGGAAGCTAGCGAAGCAGCCCACGCGGCTGGCGCCTCCAGGCACCGAAGGCGCCCGAATATCTAGGAGAGTGCCCAACAGCGGGGCCGAAACCTGCTCCATGTGCAGCAGCTGTCGTCAGCCCATTCGCCCCTTTTGCCCGACCCGAGCCCTCCCCCGGGGGCCGAAAATAGCTAATATCAGCCAGCGTTGACTCCAAATAGATAGGAGGACACGAGGACGAGAGGAGGATGGGAGGAGGACGAAAGGAGGTCGGGAGCAGGACGGGAGGAGGACGGGAGGAGCAAAATCAAGCAAGCGCCAGCAAGCAAGCGGAAGCAGGCAAGCGCAAGCGAGCAATAACAAGCACGCAAGAGCCAGCGATCAAGTGCAAGAAAGCTAGGGTAAGCAAGAGCAAGCAAGCGATAGCAAGCACGCAAGAGCAAGCAAGCAAGAGCACGCAAGAGCAAGCCAGGGCAAGCGACTCATAGGAATTCCTAGGAATCTGTAGGACTCGCCATTGGAAATAGCTGGGGGGTGCCATTGGAATAAGGGGGGTGCCATTGGCAAAAGGGGGGGGAAGGGGGGCCATTGGAAATCAGGGGGGAGTGCCATTGGAAAAGGGGAAGGCCTTAAAGACCAATTACGTATGATGAGCTAGGACCCCTATAGGGCAAACCTATTTGGATAAAAACCTCCCGTCGGGATTTTTTCACGACGAGAGGAGGTGAGGGTGCATGAGAAGCTGCAAGGAGGAGGGGCAGCAGCAGGAGGAAGGCACGGGACGGGGGGGGGGGGGCGGGGCAAGGCCACCCTGACTTCGGATCCGCCGTACTTCGGGCGATCCCTTAAGCAGGGCGGAAATTGCCGCCCTACTTTTCCGCGTCCTTTGATGCCGACTTCCGTCCTGCTTTGCCGTGCCCGTTTCCGCCATACCTTTGCAGAAAGATCTGCCCTACGTTTCTGAGGTGGCAATTTCCGCACTACTCTTCCACATCGTTTCGGGTGCATTTCTGACGCAATTCTACCGCCAAGAACTTTTGATTAGCTATGCCGTGCGAATGGATAACGTGTTGCTCCGCTCCGCGGGCCGGGAAGCCTCGGAAAATTCGGGACGTTGACGCTTGGGAACCGCAAAGTGGACAGCGTGTCGTGTCGAAGCGTGGTGGGCAAGAACCGGCCGTGCGACGCGCTATCTAAAAGTTCTCGGCCGCAAGTCGGAAAATCAAAAAGAGTACGGCGGATCCAGAGTCGGTGCAGGCCGAGTTCGAAGCCGGGTGCAGACCGAGCCCCAGGTCGCCCGTGGCCGCCACCGACTCCACGAAGCCGGCGGCCGCCTCCACCGCCGCGGGGCTGAGCCTGGGAGGCCGAGCTATCATCACCGCTCCTCCCCTTCCACCCTCCACCCTCCGCCCCTAGTACCCTCCTCCCCAGACCCCGTCGCGTCGTGAACACAAAACACGACGGACGGGTGTTTGCTCTTTTCCGTCCTCCGGGGGCACTCGCCAGGCCCCGGGACCGTCAACAAAACCACGCAGGATGAAGGATCGGTCCCGAGGGAGGGGTCCAGACCTTATTTGGGGGGTCCACGTCACGAAAAGGTCTCGACGTCGGGGGTCTGGGCTCCTCCACCCTCCGCCCGCCTCCTCCCTCCGCCCCGCCTCCTCCCTCCTCCCCGCCTCCTCCTGTCGCTGCGGGCCGTGTCGGCTGCTGCTCGGAGGCCATCGAGGCCCTCGCCCCTGGCCAGACGCCAGAGGGAGGGGAAGAGAACAAGTAGGCAAGAGAAAGGTACCCAGTGAAAGTTCACAACTTAGTGCAAAAGTTAGGTTCCACCTGAGACATCAACTGGCCACGCCGCGCAGGTGTCGCCGCGGAAGAATTGCCCAGGCCGAGGCCGAGGCGAGAGCGCCGTTTGGATGGGAGTTCGGTCATTGTGTCTCGTTTCGCCCCCGTGTGTAGGGAACGACTGGACGGCGGAAAGAGCCCTTGCAGGAGGTAGGTAGGTGGGGCCGGTGCATGCGTTTGTTTGCGCGGCAGGATGCGGCCCTGGCCGCACTCGGAAAGACCCCTCCCCCTCCTCCTCTTCCTCCTCGCGTTCCCGATCATCCTGCCCCGCCTCCTCTCCACATCCTCTTCCTCCTCGTCGGCGCCAACGGCAATGTGATGATCGCAAGCATCGCCTCATCACCATCAGCGACAACTTCAGCACCATCGTCGTCGTCAGCAGCTTGTCTGATGCTGTTCCTTCTCTTCCTCCTTATTCAATCTGATCCTCATCCTCCCGATCCTCCTCATCCTAATCATCACCCTCCTCCCACTCATCGTCATCATCCACAACAGCATCATCATCATAATCATCATCACCATCATCATCATCACCATCATCATCAGCATCATCAGCATCGTCATCGTCATCGCCATCATCATCATAATCATCATCAGCAGGAGCAACAGCATCAGCATCATCATCAGCCGCTTCATCATCACCAGCAGCATCATCATCGTAGTCATCATATGATCACCATCCTCATCATCGTCAGCATGATCATGATCATCAGCACCGTCATCATCCTCATCCTCATCATCACCATAATCCGCCGGCCACCTTGTGGGGCCACCAGGCTGTAGGACCGTGATTCGCAGTTTCCTGTACCAGTTGTAGCTTGTAGTTTCCAGTGTTACAGTTCTGCTTCTTGCTGGTTACTGTAACTAGTTGATTGACCGCGCGAGGGGGGGGGAGGCCCAAACGGGATTTTTAGCACCCCCTGGGCGCGTTGTCTGAATTGCTGGGGGGGCTCGAAATCGACACCCCTCACGCAGATCCGCGGGGTCAGGGTCCAAAAACACAGGGATTTGCCACATTTCTGAAATTCGGTGCCACCCCTCACGCAGATCCGCGGGGTCAGGGTCCAAAAACACATGGGATTTGCCACATTTCTGAAATTCGGTGCCACCCCTCACGCAGATCCGCGGGGTCAGGGTCCAAAAACACATGGGATTTGCCACATTTCTGAAATTCGGTGCCACCCCTCACGCAGATCCGCGGGGTCAGGGTCCAAAAACACATGGGATTTGCCACATTTCTGAAATTCGGTGCCACCCCTCACGCAGATCCGCGGGGTCAGGGTCCAAAAACACAGGGGATTTGCCACATTTCTGAAATTCGGTGCCACCCCTCACGCAGATCCGCGGGGTCAGGGTCCAAAAACACAGGGGATTTGCCACATTTCTGAAATTCGGTGCCACCCCTCACGCAGATCCGCGGGGTCAGGGTCCAAAAACACATGGGATTTGCCACATTTCTGAAATTCGGTGCCACCCCTCACGCAGATCCGCGGGGTCAGGGTCCAAAAACACATGGGATTTGCCACATTTCTGAAATTCGGTGCCACCCCTCACGCAGATCCGCGGGGTCAGGGTCCAAAAACACATGGGATTTGCCACATTTCTGAAATTCGGTGCCACCCCTCACGCAGATCCGCGGGGTCAGGGTCCAAAAACACATGGGATTTGCCACATTTCTGAAATTCGGTGCCACCCCTCACGCAGATCCGCGGGGTCAGGGTCCAAAAACACAGGGGATTTGCCACATTTCTGAAATTCGGTGCCACCCCTCACGCACATCCATCGCAAGGCGTGGTAACCCAAACTGCGAGTACTCCCTCGGCCCTTTAATCCCAAGGTGTGGTAACCAAGCTCGTAAACCATACACGTCTTACCAATCGCCCTGTGTGGTAACCCCTCTTGTGATCAGTTGGTTTTGCCGATTGCGAATCGGCCTCGCATGAAGTTCCGATACTGCTGCACGACAGCGCCAAAGCCTCATGACTTAGCTCTTCCATGGCCCATTCTCCGAGAGAGGGGGCCGGCGGCAGGGGGCGAAGCCCTTACGGATCATCATCATCACCATCACCATCATCATCATCATCATCATCATCATCATCATCATCATCATCATCATCATCATCATCATCATCGTCGTCGTCGTCGTCGTCGTCATCATCGTCATCATCATCATCATCATCATCATCATCATCATCATCATCATCATCATCATCATCATCATCATCATCATAATCATCATCGTCATCATTGTCGTCATCGCCATCATCATCATCAGCAGCAGCATCATTGTCGTCGTCATCGTCATCACCATGGCCATGGCCATCGTCGTCATCACCACCATCATCAGGACTCAGCCAACGAACATCCTCGTCCAAGTGCACATCTCACACCACACAACGAGCTTGGGCGGACTCGCTGGCCTGGTCGGCACCGAGGCCGCCTTCGAGGGCGGCGGGGAGGAGGGACGGGTGGCGGGGGGACGGCGGTGCAGCGGCCTCAGCGATCCTTCGCTGCAGGATAGCGCTCAAGCCTGAACGGTCGACGCCGGGCGTCGGAGCCCAACGCCCGCGCCGGCGCGACAGGAGCTGACCGTCCGTCACGCACGTAGCCTCGGACTGCCTCGACCTGCGGCGTGGAGTCGTGGGCCCACTGGCGTCGATGGCGGCGGCCGGACGTCAGGCGGGGCGAAGCGACCCTGTCGCGTGGTCCGCCGTGCATGAGATTAGAGTATGCTCCGACTTCGGATTGTGTCGGAAAGGCACCCCGAAGGATGCGAAGAGAAGCGTGGGAAATCTCCGCCCCGGAGACTGAGGGCGGACACTTCGGCAACAGAAATACGGCGGAACCAGCGACAGCAAAGCAGGGCGGAAATCGACATCAAAGGAGCTTGAACAGATAGTGTGACAATTTCCGTCCTGCTTGCGAGATCGCCCAAAGTACGGCAGATCCGGAATCATAGAGCAGAGGGACCAACCTGGCAGCAATGCGCCGCAGTGCGCGGCCTGCTCGGACGGAGCAAAACTGGGACCACGGGACCCTCCAGGCTAGAGGAACAACAACTGCATAAACATAAACTTTCGGAGCTCCGTGCAGAATTGTTGGATCGGCGCGGCACCTCCAGCGCCGCCAGGGGCGCCTATCGCCGATACAAGACATCCGCGCGCAGCTCCCGCGCGCAGGCGTCGGCGGCGACGGCCACCCTCGCACGAGGAGGAGGAGGAGCGTAGAGAGTGGCGCAGCGCCCCCAAGGCCGCAGCACCGCACAGCCGCGAAGGTCAGCCGCAGCGAGCGCCGAGAGTTCGTCGAGAATCGCCGGCGCTGGGCGGAGGCCAGGCTCGCCTAAGTCACCCACGGCCGGAAACTTTTGCCCAGCGTGTCGCCACGGCGACACGCTGTCCCTTGCAAGCGGATAGCGTGTCGCTCCGCTCCGCGGTGCGGGAAGCTCGAAAAGTCTCGGGACGTTGACGCTTGGCTGAAGCGGATAGCGTGTCGCGCCGAGGCGTGGTGAGACAGAACCGGCGGAGCGACATGCTTCTAAAAATTCCCGACCATAGATTCGCGCACAGCGTCCCGCGACGTGCGACGCGCGATCATATTCGCGCCCTCGCGCCCTCCGGTGGGACGACGAAATTTTGCAAGTTGTTCCTGACCGCGTGCGGCTGCACCTACAATGCGACGCCACCTCGAGGAACAATCCCCGCCCCCTACATTTCAATGTTGGCATCAAGTGAGCACCCCAAGTCCAGGTGGACAATATAATGCAAGTCAACATTGGAATGATTTGAAATATGGGGGGGAGTTCCACAGAGATCGACGGAATCTGATCAAATTTGGCACACTTTTTTCAGAACGCTCAGATAACTTGCGGTATGTTGACCACCCCCTGTCGCGCCACCACCGTAGAAGGCAGCTGCCCGGCCCAGGCCGCGGCGCGCGAAGCTCGATTATTTTTGGGCCACTGGGGGTGACCCAGGTCCTGGGGGGCCCAAGCGATCGCCTTGACGGTGCAGTTCGACTTCGCGACTTCGTGATGCAGCAGCCTGCTGCCGATGTCGGGGACGGCGAGGGTGGGCAGCGTGGCAGGAAACTTCGGCGCAGGTGCAGTGTGAGCGCCGCTTTGTGTCGATTTCTCCTCATACGCGCGCGGGAAGTGCTACCATCAATATGCGTTCCTGGCGTCGGCGCATTGCTGCCGAAGGATGTGGTCGTAGCTGGACAGAGTGGCATGGTGACGATGAGGCTGCTTGGACGTCGCACGAATGGCCTCAGTCCTGGCAAGAGGGTGACACTACCCGGAAGCACGCTGTGGCCAGTGGAGGAGACCAGCCAAGGCGTTGTCGGAGGGCCTGTTCAGGGAAGGCCTTTGCGGTGGTAGCTGCCAAGGTGGTGTGGTCGCCGCCTGAGCCGCGGCAGATGCTGGCGGAGGAACATTTCGCGCAGTATCGCGAGCTGTAGTGCTGGAGTGATTCGTCAGAGGGGGCCCGAGCGGTCTTACGTCTTCTCTGCACGCGTGG